TTGGTATCGTCAGCACCAACGTTAACATTAGTTCCATTTTCATTTGAGCTTGCATTAGCAACATCATCTGCATTAACTTTAACGTCAGTATTTCTCTTTTTTGCGGATACGGAAGCGTTGGTATCGTCAGCACCAACGTTAACATTAGTTCCATTTTCATTTGAGCTTGCATTAGCAACATCATCTGCATTAACATTGACGACAGCATTTCTTTTTAGTACAGATACAGAAGCATCAGCCTGAACTCCTTTTTCAGATGTAATGATTCTTCTGCTGAACAAAGGCACAGATGGAGCTTCAACGTCGGTTTTAATGGGAATTGAAACAACTGAAGTAGAAAGTATAGCCAATGCAACGGTGATAGTGATAATTTTGAGTCCTTTCATTTTTTATTGAGAAATTAAGGTGTGTGGTTGGTGTGGTTTAAGTATTTTAAGATTGAAAAGAAAGTTTTTGAAAGGATTACTTTTATTATTCTTTTTTAAAGATTGTAGTAATTATTCGGAAATGAATGTTTTAATTGAATGTGAATGATGAAAAAAAAATTGAAAGCAAGAAATTGGAGCATTTTATAAAAAATTTTCGAATAAGAACACCATACAACAACTCTTGTTTCTTAATTAGAACCAATTAAATAGATTAGAATTATCGCCAAGAAAATCTTTTGAATTGATTCTTGTCTTTGAAAAAAAATAATAAAAAAAAAAAATGAAAAATAATAAACATAAAGCGTTGACCAATGATGCGCCGCAGAGAACATGGTGCAACCTTTATGATGTAGATCGCGAAACAAGGATTTTCTTTTGAGATTATATGCATTGTTATGCATTATTAGGTTTTCCTTATAAAATAAAATCCTTTATCTCTTAAAAAGGATTTTTTAAATTAAAGTTTGCTATATTTAAACAAAAAACTTAATCTTTACATGAAAAAAATAAAGACAGAGCGTAACATTTCGCAAGTGAAAAGAAAGTTAACAAAGGGACTAATGCGCGCACTTTAATAAATTTTGCATAAACTTACGTAATTGCACGACCGATCATGATCCAAGATTCGTCAATCTTTTGGACAATAGATTAAACGTTTTGTTGTATACCGTGTAACGTGAAAGCTTATTCATTTGTAGAAAATCAATAACTTGTTATATTAAATTTCCAATACAATGTGCATTATTAAACCGATCGATTAAGAGCTGTATTATATATTAAGCAATAATTTTACGCCAAGTTCTTTCCTTATAAATAAAAGAGTTTTTACTTTAAATTCAAGTTATTAATCTTCAAAAAGAAGGTGATGCAGCATAACTCAATATTGAGCCCACTTTAAATTAACGAATAAAATATATTTTATTTATTTTCATTATTTGTTTTCTTTCTTTCTTTTTTTTTAAAAAAAAAAATAAAATTTGTCAAATCAAATAATTCACATAAAAAAATGTCATACAATTAATTAATCTTGGTATTTATCTATTTATATCCACGCATCCTGATAGTTTTATATTTTAATAAATATATTTTTAATTTTTTCGTTTTATGATACACGAGAGTTTATTACATACGGTATTATACAATTTTTATTCGCTAAAAACCATGTCAAAAACTTCAAATAAACTGTAAAATACTTATTCACGATATTTTAAAGCTAAATATATGTCAAAAAGCATTTAACTTATATTTAGTAACTAATACTATTTTTGGGAAATTCTTAATATGAAAAGTTAGATGGGTATTATGTTTTCCGAATTTGAGTTGAAGTATTTTCTGATGATTAGACGATTTTTTTTATAAAATACATAATTTAGGTCTAATTCCAAGGATGCTATTAATGTTCATGGGTATCGAACAGTTTTTTTTAAAATGATGTACAAATAAATAAAAATAAATAATAATCTTATATATAAGGAGGAAGAGAAGTTTGGCTTATATGCCAAATTTGTTCATAATTCGGGGGAGGAAGATTAGGTTGAGTTCCCGGTTCTGAATTAATTGAATTTTCTTGTTGATATAAAAGTTCAGCGGCCAAATAAGCCTCCTCTTCAACGCTTAACATATTTACAATTTTTATGGGAACGTCCAAACTAAAATTATATTTGCTAAAAAAACCGAATTTAACTTTAATCTTAAGCTTATGAGTTATTTTGATATTAAAACTTTCATGAGACCAAGTCAGCTTGCTAATGCAATCTTCTGGGATTGAAAATTTAATGTCCGTTATGCATTCACTATATCGTGAATCTGTTGTAATTGATAATTCTCGACCTTTTACGATTTTCATACCAACGTATTTACTCTTTTTATTAACATCAAATGCGCCTGCAATAACAATATATTCTTTTAAGCCAATGATGATGTCTTCCAAAGAAACGCGGGAATCATAGAATGTCAACTTCAATCTTACGACGATCGGATTACGAGGTCCAAAAACTTTATTACTTAAATGGATATCATACCCGATTCCTTTCGTTGGATCTCTTTTTGTCCAACTTTTAGGTTCAGGCAAAGGAGGTAAAATATAACGTCTGACCGTGTAGGCGCATTGTATGATCTTTTTTGTACCTCGAAGATTTGGTTTCTTTGATATGATAGCTTGAAGACAATAATCAACCTTTCCTCGTCCTTTATCTACGGACAAACTTGACGGTATATCGAAGGGAAGCGGAATTTCAAAAGGTAAATCCATATCAAGGATTTCGTGATATCTATCATCCGGACTTTTCCATAGTTCGATAGTAACCTCACAAATTGTATTCGTATTAAAAACTAAGATTTTTGGACCCGCGCCTTGCGCTTGAACAAATTCGGTCCCCAGAAAACAAATTTGTATTTTCTTTGCATACAAAGGCCTATGTGCTGGAAATCTAAGGTGCAGCAATCCATTGATCGACACGTCGTTTGTGATACCAAGGTAACCTTGTTGAAAAGAATTCCGACCTAGTTGATAAGAGAAATATGCTAATGGGGTATATTCTTTATATAAGGAACGTGAAGGTCCTTTAAGAAAATTAGCCATTAAAAAAAAATTGAGGTCTTTTTTATATTTATATATATATGTATATGTATATGATGCAATTAAAAAGAAAATTTTGTTATTTAAGAGAAATGATTTCTTTATTTTATACTAAAGGAAAAAAAGCTTTTCTAACGTAAGATAAAAAATTAACACGGTCAATCGATTGTGCACATAACGGTATTTATCAATTTTTTGGGGGGCATCTTTAATGACGGTAAAAATCCGATTTAGGTTTAGTTAACTGATTTTCTTGAGAATTAATAATTCAATTACAACCAATTAAACGGGATTAAAATTGCACGTATAAATTAATCACACCAATGTGTTCAAAACAAAGTTAATATTACTAAAGTTGGAAAATCATTTTTTTTTTAAGTTGATCATCTTATTTATCCAAATTATATAATGTTACTTTGCTGGTTTTGCAATTTTTTGGATTGTCAAAGGTAAAGGTGGGTCAAAGGCTTATCAACTGATTCCACCGTAATTTTTCATGATGTAACTTGTAATAAATACATGACAAATTGATCATACGACGCATTTTTTGTTTGTGAATTCACATATTACCATTTAAAGGGATGATGGCTTAATTAATTATAGAATACAATGAATTTAAAAAAAAAAATTCAAATTTGGGATGATGACGGAATTCAGAAAAAAAAAAATGTCTCCATTTATTCAATATGTTACATCCTTATGAAGTTACACATTATATTACAGAAAGTTTTCACACACCACGCTATCATCCAATGACACAAAAAGAGTAAATACTACTATTGTAAAGATTTATATATTTACGTAAGTGATTTTTTTTAAAAAAAAAATTAAGATTCAATCTCCGTGTAACCAATAGCAGAAAATTTCAAAACGGCATTCTTTAACACATTATTTTTTGTTCTTAATGCCAACGTAAACAAGATATCCAGATTATTATCATCTACAAAATCGATAATTCTACAACTAAGTAATTGTTTCAAATCATGAATTTCTCTTGAACTAGTTTCATTATATAAATCCAATAATTCCTCAAAACTTAAATTTTCATCAAGTTTTCCAGTATAAATGTAATACAATAATCTATAAAAACTATCATAAGAAACTCCGTCCATTTTAATAACTATCTTACTGGTGTCCTTCCTTGTATCCTTTAATAATCTTTTAAAGTGTGAAGATTTTGTAGCAAGGTACATACTAGATGCTTTGATCGTAGAATTGCCACCAAACGTAAATATGATGTCACTGAACACATCATCGTCAAAATATTGTTCATATGGTATAAAATTGGATGGACTAATAAATGCCAAATTATTTTCAATTTTATAAAAATTAACTCGAACCATCAAATCCGCTTTGATCGTCTTGTGATCGCCTGGAAATATTTTTGCGGTTTCATTAAATTTGGAAACTTCCGATGATACGCCATGTTTATTAGTTAAAAAATAATTGAGCCTTTGACTTTTACCTATAGGTGTATATTTCTCAGTTCTATTATACTTTACAAATAGCTCAAAGTAATGATCTGCACTCCGTTCTTTCAAATCAA